GTTTACTTGTATCACTGTGGACTCCATTGCAGTTATTATTCTTAACAGAGGCCCCATCTTTGGCCAGTTGGAGCTTCTCAGTTTGGCTCCTGAGTCCTTTTTTATCAGAGCTGGGTCAGAGCTAGGAAATGTGTTTCTATGTTTGCTTTTAAAATAAAACACATCAAAAGTTCACATCGATACTTTCCATTTAAGTTCAGAACAACAGGATTTTCAGTTAAGGTCTTCTGTCTTTTATCAGTACCCACTCTCTCCCACGCCAAGAATACCAGTTCTCAATAGTGTCTGAAATTTGCTTTGTCTGACTCTATTCTACTTAAATCACAGCTGCTTTGTGGCCTCTGAAATGTAAAATATTAGGTAGGACTATTTATATAATTTTTAGTTACATATATGTTCATTCACATGGACTTTGCTTGCAGTTTTATATGCCTATTGACTATCCATCCTGCAGTTTTAATGAAAAGCAAGTGATACTTCCAGGTCGAAGCAGCTTTGGGGAAAAAAATGACTCTTTTAGCAGAATTACTGACATGCCAAGTTTATTATAATCTCTTGGTTTTATTCTGGCTCGTCTAATTCAGTTTTAATTTTTTCCCTACAAATGAAATAATACACATTTTCATTGTTTTGCATTATAGGACTTACCAGAAACTGTTCCTTACTTCAAAATTTATACGATTGGGCATCAGGTACCTGATGATGACACTATTTTTAAATTCAAATATGCTGTTAATGGGTTTTTGAAAGAAAATAAAGATAATAGTGATTTGTTTTTATTTCTTACCAGAACTTCTGTATGCATTTTGAATGAGGTTGAAAGTTTTTAATATTTTTAATAGTTTTGCCATTGGGCCTATTGTGTTTAATATTATTAAAGTGGAAATGTCAGATGCTAATAGAGTGAGGTGTTACTTCTTCTTATAGCCACAAAGTTAGTTTGGAAAGTGATTTTAGTGAGCGATATGAACTGAACTAGCTTATTCATCTATTTTTTAAAAATTTGATTGGGAAATATAAAAATGTTCTTTTATATATTGGTTAAGAGGTAGGACATAAAGGAAAAGATAAAGAATCTCAGGGTCTTAGAGTATATAAAAGAGACAACAAAAGGGAAAGGTTTGGAGTGAGACAGACCCCTAGAAGTGAAAAAAAATGGACCAGTGGAGTGACATCCTCATCATATGTATTTAAGATATTCCTGGTATTTTTCTACTTTGGGTTCAAGTGGGGAAGGACACTGCCACCTCTTACTGTCATTCTGCAGACAGAAAGAACTCAAAAAGGCCACTGTTTTCTTGTTCCTGCTTTAAAGTCTACCTTACTCTGTTGCAAATAGATCTTAATAGCTTCCGAATTTTAAGGATCTATGTGCCTTTTTCTGGCATCTCACTATCAGCAAGAATATTGTATTTGTCATATTTTAAAACCGAGGTCTCTTGTCTTTGGAAAGTGACTGGCCCACAGCGTGAAATGTTCATTTGGCCATCTTTCTAAATTTAGCTTGAGAAATATACACTATTGAGCTGGACAGACAGTAATATTTCATATGTGTGTGTATATATATATATGTGTGTGTATATATATATATATATATATACATATCAACAGGGAGTAGGGGAAAAAGAATACAGATGGCAGTGGGAAGTTAGGGGATGAAAGAGAGAGGCAGGAATTTTCAGATTAACTTTTAAACTACAAACCTTGTCGTTTAATGCGGGCACTGGCTCTTAAATATCATAAGCCCCATTCGCATATCTTCCCTCCACTTTGACTTTAGAACTTGAGAGGCTGAGCCTTGAGCAGGCATGTATAGAGGAGGTAAATTTTCTAATTTGTATAAATTGTAGTTACAGAAACATCACCTCTTAAGATGTTAGGGAGCCGCTGCCAGCTTGCTCGCTCCTTCAGGCCCCTTTCCCAAGATCTACCGTATGGCATCCTGTCTGTTCCATGAGGACTAAAGGTCCTTGAGAGTGCCCGAGGACACATTGGTAAATCTCGGTCCCTCTCGGGTGTAGTCGTTGCACAGGCTGGCCCCGTGTTGGTCGTCTGCCCCCATGGTGCTAACTTGATGGGGCTCTGCTGTAGCCGTCTCGGGACCTTGCTTATCATCCATTCTGGCCACCTCTGTGATAGGCCCCTCCACAGACACCAGCTCCCAGATGAAGAGGACAAGGCATTTTCCACCATAAGACAGTGGGTTAATTATAATAAAAGAATTAAGTGCAACGGGAATATAGAAGAGAGACTGAGGAAGGTCTCACTGAGGAGACAGCATCTGGGCTAGGTGGTGAGAGGATTTCACTAAAATGAGGAAAGGACAGCCCAGGTATCAGGAAATGTACAAAAGGCAGAGAGCTTGGACATGTGCCATGGAGAGGCAGCCTCTGCTGGGTGAGGGGGTAGTGTGAAAGGGTGAGGAATTCGTATGTTCACTTCCAACAAATATTTATGTGATACCTGCTAAGTTGAAGGCACTGTTCTGGGAAGTAGGAGCAGAGGACAGTTCTTGCTCCTCCATCCTCTGCATTCTAGCCGGGGAGAGAGAATGAAGAGAGTACATGGAATGTCATGACGATAAGTGCTTTGGAGAGCACCGAACAGGATGGAGAGGGGAGGGAGTGTGCTGGGTGGTCAGGGAAGGCGTATGAAGGTGTTGTTTGAGCCCAGCCTAAAAGGAAATGAGGAACCCAGCCACTGGGTATTAGAGGGGTGGTGGGAAAGTGTCCTAAAGTACAGGGAATAGTGGTACAAAGCCTCTGAAGCACGACTATGCTCAGCATGTTTGAGGACTAGTAAGGAAGTCAGTGTGGCTGGAGTAGGGAGGGAGCACTGAGTTTAGAGCAGTAGAAAATGGGATTAGAGAGGCTGGCAGGGGGCAGGAGGGAGGTGGGTCATGCGGGACCTTGTAAGTCATAGTTTGGATCATTGTGGAATTACAGGTCAGTTGGAGACACAGATTGATATCTGTTTATAAGAGTTCTAAATGCTGTGCTCAGAGTGTGGGCATTACTGTATGTTAAATGAAGATTTTTAGGCAACGGAGTAACCCAACCAAGTTTACATTTAGGAAAGATAACATCTTCCATATGGAGGAACAATTGAAATAGTAGCGATTAGAAGTAGGGAGGTAGTAATCCAGACAGGAAAAAACAAGTCCTTTCTTACGAGACACCAGGTAGTCACAGACCTATGCTTTGCAGGCATAAATAAAAAACTACAGTTTTAAAATTTAATTTCTATATAATGTTTTTAAATGATGGACTAAGAAATACCGTGGCATACTTGGAGAAATCTTAGACTTGATTCTAGACTTTGTTCTGTTTGCCTGCTGTGTAGCTTAGACTTACATATTTCCAAGTCTTGCTTTTTCATCATAAAATAGGGACAGAGCTTTTCATCTGGATACTTGACGGGGTACAGGGGCCTGTGGCGTGTGGGGAGCCGACAGTGAGAGGAGGAGCAGAAGCACCTTGGGGCCTTGAAGGGAGTGCCACGAGCGCTGTTTTTTTTAATAACTCAGCATCAAAAGTGAACCTCCCATTTGTGTCACTCCAAACCAAATTTCATTCTTCTTCTAGCCTGTTTTGATTTTGTTTCCACTCCCTTTTCCTGTACTTAAATCAATGACTGAGGGGCACTCTCTAGGAAGACAAATGGGTTTATCTCAATATGGTTTAGCTGTTCAGACCTGACCAGGCCTTCTCCTGTCTATACCCTGCGTCTAACTGGGGGCTCTTCACAGTTTCCCAGAGACAGTGAATTTTGACTTGGTATTAGATAATTCTTTATAGTATGTTCCTAAACACAAAATCACATTCCTCTTCAGAGTTACTCCTTTTCAGGGTAGTGGTAGTGTTGTGTGACTAAGAAATGTCACTCTCCAGAAAGGCGCATCACTTGTTGGTAGTGTGTCAAAATGACTTTAACTGTATTCCCTGTATTACAGACGAACTTATTGGCGTCCACTGTACCCATGGTGTAAACAGGCCTGGCTACCTCATCTGCAGGTGAGTTGCCAACCTTGAGAGGCAGACCCTGTTCCAGTTGTTTGGTTTACAATAGTAATGTAAGCTGGTTGCAGAAAATCAGCGTAGAAGCTTATGAAGCAGAAAGCAGTCCTACCCCCACCCAGAGATACTACTGGCCATCGTTTAACCTGTTTTTTCACACTTTAAAAATGCAGACATAAGCATATACATGTACTTTAATGGTATGATATTTCTTTACTTATTTATTTTGAGAAGGGATTTTATTTTTTATTTTTATTTAAAAATTTTTAATCGAAGTATAGTTGACATACTAATTTCAGGTTAATGGTATAATATTTAGACATCCTGTTTTATAATTTAGTGTATGGCAGATGTCTTCGTATAAAAGTCTTTGGAGACCTCATTCTTTTTTAAGGTTGCATTGCTCCTTCGCTTACTGATGAACATAAGAAAGTCATAAGTTGTTGATATTATAAAATATTGAAGTAATGAATATTCCTGTATGAACATCTTTGAATACATATATACTATCTTCTCAGAGACAATTTCACTCAGAATGGAATTTCTGAGTCAGAGCAACCCTTGTGTTTTTGTGGATGTTGCTGCACTGTGCCAATTTATGTTCATTCAGAAAATACGTATTAGGCATCTTCTTTGTGTAAGCACTGTGCTGAGTGCTGCCAAAAAGACTTGTGAGACTTTGTGGGCAGAAAGACTTGACCAGCCTTCTCTGAATCCTACCAGTCTAGGGAGGGACTACATACTCTAGAATCACATAGTTGCCTGTAGAATTACAACCTGAAAAAGTGTGGACAGGTATATCTCCATGTGAAAACTTTTATCTATGCGTGGAAACATATCTATCTATATGTATCTACATGTGGAAATATATCTATCTACGTGTGGAAACTTTTATCTATCTATATCTATCTATCTACATGTGGAAACTTATATCTATCTGCATCTCGTAACCAAAGTGGCACCAACAATCCTATCATCTCTTACATTATTATATAGCCATATGAGTCAGCAATTTCCATTTCCTTTTCCCTTTCAATGAAAAACTGTATTTTCCCCAAGGAGGTGTATTTGGCAGCATTCTCACGCTCTTGTTGAGCCTGCCTCTTCATAGCCTCCCGCTCTGGCCTCTGCTCTTCTGTGATGGGCTCTGACACTTCTGGCCCAAGAATTTCAGATATCCTCCATGGACGTGGTATGAAGAAGTAGACCTCTCGGTTTACGTACGGGCTTTTAGGCTTGGGTGGAGGCTGGTTCTGGGGCACAGCAGTGGGAATGGGCTCCTGCTGGAGAGAAGTGCAAAGTGATGTTCTGTAGAGTACAGGTCTAGAAGCAGCGGACTGGGTGACACTAGGCTGGGTAGACTTGGTCAGGTCTGGTTGGGTTGAGTTGGTCGAGACTGGACCCAGAGATGAGCAGGCAAGATCTGTTAAAGATGCAGGAGCTTGCTGGGATGAATCGACTGCAGTAGACTGAGCTGCATTTGTAGAGCCAGGCTGGGTAGAGGAAGCCAAAGCTGGCTGGTCTGAGGCTGGAGACCATTGCCTACAAGGAACTTGGCAAACTAGTGACCTTTCCCCCATCAGAAAAGGCAAAGGCATGAATTTGAGCTTCCCAGGAGGTGGCAGTTCACTCTGAGATGGAGATGGATACTCTTTTTTGACACTGACGTCTGGTTTCTGGGCATTGACATGAGTTTTCTGAAGTCTTTTCCCCTCACATAGAGTATTCAGCCATGGTTTGGTGGCCAGGGGTGCCTGGGGGTCTTTGGGGTTCCTTGAATTTCCCAAGTTCGGGGAAGAAGAGAATCCAGGTTTCTTATCAAACTTCTTCCCCAGTGCATGAAAAACCTGCACAGACTCCGGCATGTGCATGCCTAGCCTGCTTAGAGGTTTTTTAAGATTCTCTTGGCTGAGCTCGGGTTCATTTTTCTTTCGCTTCATCCTGCGAATGGTTGGCTTTTCTTCTGCTGTGACTTTGTTTCCAGACTGCTCTCCCTCTTCAGCTTTCTTGGAGTTCCTTTTTCTGGTTCTTGTGGTCTTCTCTTGTGCACAGCTCCTAGTTTTTCTGGTCCTCCTTGATGCAGTTATTGGAGATTTACATCTAGAACGCTTGGACTTGTTCACAGGAGCCTCATCAGCATCTGCAACATTGCAGATACTCAAGTCTCCCTCTGGTGCCTCTGGAACACCACTGAGAGGCTCAGAGGCTTCATGACTGTTCTTCCTTGCTTGACCAAAGGACCTCTTTGTTGCACATGACCTTTTCTGCACCTGGTTTAATTCGGTGGCGCTGGTATCTTGGGTTTTGTTCACCTTGGGACCTTTGGACTGAATAACGTTTTTCAAGGAACTGAAGAGCTGATGAAGGTGCCTGTCTCCCACTGGGGCAGCAATGTTTGCAAAACTGCTGCTCAATTCATTCTCATTACCAAGTGTGGTTTGGTCCTCAAGGCTCAGGCTGTTCTTCCCCAGATCAATGTTTTCAGAACGAGGCTGCTTCTCTTGGTTGAAGGGATCAGTGCAGGCCTGGAGATGGTGAGTATCAGGGATGTGTATAGGGAGCAGTACATCATCTTGGTTTTCTACTGGGATCTGGGAGGCATCCAGAGGCTTCAAAAGCTTTTTTTTACTATTCTCCAAACTGTTATTCTTTGTTTTTTCCTGATTTTTAGCTGGAGGAAGTGCCAAGGGATTACCAGAGCTCTGCACTGAAGCTGTCACTGAAATGCCCCCAACCTCAGGTGGTGGGTTACTCTCAAGTGTCTGGCTGTGTGGATGTTGTGGCAGACAAAATGTCTGGTTTGGAGGCTGCAAACCCCAGGAAGTCTGCATCCCTACAAAGGAACAAGAAAGAAGTCAGTCTTTGGTAAGTGAGATGCTTCTAGATGCAACACAGAAACCATGCACTGCTCAACATGGACAAGACTTTTCTGCTAGTTCTTAAAAGACATGGGTAGCACCCTGTGCTAGGAGATAGAGGAGGCAGCTGTTCTAGTTCTTACTGCTGATCATTTGATGACACTTTTGCTTGGTTTCCTTTGTACTTCATAGGACTTTTAGAAGTCAAATAAAAGGTAAAAGTGATTTTTAAAATATGAAATATTTTACAAGGCCTAGCAGTCTTCTATGTAGTCTTCAATAATCCTGTCTGCTTTCCTGAGAACTTAAGAACACCTCACCCCATAGACTAAGAGAGAGAATGGAGTTCTTCCTCATGAAATATATAAGCAAGGGCAGATTCATAGCCTGCTTGTTTTGGACAAGATCCCAGAACAAAAGGTCTTAAATCCTGGTGTCAATTAAGAAAGTGAGGAAAAGTTAAACTGATACTAGCACAATAAGTGAAATGCCTTCCAAAAATCAGGACTAGATCAGGAAACGGGAGTTCCTTGCAGTGTGGGAGTGTGCAGGGGGACTGATGAGCTAGGGCCGTGAGAAGCATGGTATCCCTTGGCGCGCTCTGTGTGCATGTGGCATAGATGGCCGTCACAGTGTCCTGCCTTCCCACCTCCATTAGGTCTGGAAATGAAGAGCACTGAGAGAGAGTGGTGGTTATTAACGTCTCAGGACTTGAACTCTACCTATCTGACCTTTCTTTTGAATGCTGACCTTATTCCTCTCCATACTTGCTGTTTGCACTCACCTTGAAAACGTGTTTCTGTGATGGTTTGAGCAGACACGTAGTAGTAAATTCCAGATGTGGAGACTGGTGGTTGGGTACCTGCGGGCTGAATCTCCTGCAGTACCGTCATTTCTGGTTGAGGGGCAGAGGCCCTACTTCCTATATTTGTCACAGAGCCATAGGATTGCCAGCAGGGGACAAGTTCTCCAGATCGCAGAGTCCCCATTGTGCCTTGATTGTAATAATATATCTGGCTCCCTTGCTGGTAAGGATGTGACAGACTATGTCCCTGATTTAGCATCTGGGATGTTGTTCCCTGAACAAGCCTCCCAGAAAGTGATGGATACACAGGGACCATGTAACTGGCATACAAAGTCTGAGCATACTGAGTTGCCATACACATGGCTGTGTTCTGGTTAGTGACAGTCATAGTGAAGTCTCCAACTGAAGTGGAGATCTGGCGCTGGCTGGTAACTGCAGACAACATAGTCGTGCTGGAATGTTGGTAAAGGTAGGCAGTCCCCATGAGTGGCTGGAAAGAGGTGCCAGAGGCTGATGGCAGCAGCCATGTCGAACTGGCAGTGGGAGCAGAGACTCTGGAGAAATCGCAGACTCTTCCTGTTAAGGAAGAAGCTGCATGGCTCACCACAGGAACAGAGAACTGCAGAGAATGTGAAGTTCCAAGTAAAGATGGATTTTGGAAATTTTCTGTAGGGAAAAAAAATCAGTGAGGTTGAAAATTGTCTGTCAGAGTAGCAGCATTACCTTAAAGTTGCTGCTGTCAGGAAGAGTGTAATACCAACTCACTGGAGATAACAAGAATCAGTCCGTTTCTGATGGTTCTCAGTGCTGGAGCAGTTTGGTATCCTTCAGTACTCACTGCCCATGCTCCCAGCTTGGGCAGATGTGCAAAAGACCCAGGAGAGGGGTTCCTAATGGTTCTCTAAGCTAGAAGCTACCTTCTCCCTGCCCTTCTTCCCTGTGAGCCTGCATTAGTATCTTCTCCTGTGCTATTTCCTAGAATTGAAGCATTTTAGAACTCAGAGGTCCCTCAAAAACTTCTAATACTCTTGTTTTACAAGTGAGGAAACTGAGGCTTAGAGAGGTCAGATGGGCTTGTTCAAGTTCTTCCATTATGTTAGTGTCATTACCATGACCCTAAGTATCCTGACTTCCTTGCCAGGACTCTGCTCTGAGCATTATACTGCCCATAACCAGGAGAAATAGAACTTTTCATATGGGGCACCCCCTCTTTTTTTTGGTCCATTGGAAAATAGCACAGCTGCTCCCATTGTAATCCTCTGTCTCATTTTGTTTGTGCAGTTCACATGCTCCTACCCAGAGTTCACGTACAGCTTAGTCCAGTTGGTAAATTTAAGGGGTCATTCTTACCCTCTTCAAGCCAGGTTTCTGATCCTCCCTCAAAATGACTACCTGAGAGTGAGTTTCTCAAAAAGTGCTTCTTGAGAGAAAAAACTTATTTAAACTCTGTGAGCTTTAGGTTATTCATCTATAAAGTGGTTATATAGTAACAATAATGACAGTAATAATTCATACATGGATAAAAGTGATATTACATATGGTTTATATAGAGGAAAATATAAGTTCTGGAAAGATAATGAGAAAAATTATGAAAAACGTATCACAGAACTAAAAAAGAAATATGGAGATACTAATGGAAACTGGGGTATGTATGGACCAAGCATTAAGCATAAGTTCACTATTAGATGGAGTTCTGTATCATATGTGCAAAAGTATGAAAGTGAATATTGCCTACTGTTTGTTAGTGAGTACCTCTAACCAAAAAACAGCCCACAGTAGAAGGTGATTTTGAATGAATTCCTAGACAGTACATTCAGACAGAGAAGATAATATCAGTAAAAAGTTGCAAAAACAGCAGCAAAATGCAATAAATAAGCAAGTACAGGTAGCTACAATTTTTGTAGGAAAATATTTCAGTAAAATCTGAGGCAAAGCAGAGAGCAAGATCCTAAGTATAAAGGAATTCCATTGTTGTGCTCTTTCAGAGCTGTCTGAATATTAGCCAGCAAGTAACAGATATCAAGCCTAGTAGAAATATATATATATTTCGATTAATATAATCACATAAGAGAAAAGAAGACTTAACAAGTATCATGAAGGTTTTAATATTTATCTTAAAACCTACATCATAATCTTCAACGTCCAGGAAAATGTCCCCAAAGCCCAGAAAAACCATCATGGCTAGAATTAAATTTAATTTTTTTAATTTAGGAAAACCCAAAGGACTCCACAAAATTTTATTAGATAGATGTGGAATTAAAGTTGTGGGGCTTGATTTTTCCTTCTTAGAATAACTAATATCTAAAAGCAGATAATGGCTGTTTACTAGTGTGCTCTCTGTGTTAGGAAGAAAATAACTAAAGATAAAAAGCAGTCTTGACTTGGAACTTACTTATCACAAAAGCAGTTAGTCCTGACTCAAGTGAGGAGATAAAATTTTTTAAAAAGACTTAATTTTATTTTTAATAGGCAAAAAATCTACAATGTTTAAAAATCAGAATGACAAAGTAGTGAAAATTCTGTTTCCTTCACTCTCCTAGATAACCATTTTAGTTTCTTGTTTATAGGAAACATGATTTCTAAAACATACTTCTAAAATGATTATATTCAAAACTGTAAGGTGTCGTCTGTGGTTCACAGAGGCAATAGGGGAAAAACAAACAATTGGGTATGCCTGCTGACAAGCTCCTTGTTTCTGATGTGTGATACCCTATCTGGCCTGACTTCCCTTCTTAGTCCACTCATGGAAGCATTTGCTTAAATCAGCTGTGTTCTGCCCTGCTCTGAGCAGATTTCACTCTATGCTTCTGCTTTAATTTAAAATCTTTGATTCCTTCAACACTCCACTCAAACTACTCCTTTTTCTTTAGAGCCGCTCCATGCTTGCCTTCATTCTTATTTTTTCTCTACCTCTTGGTTCCTGTTGGCCTGTGCTGATGAAAACAATCTTCAGCTTCCTTCCTTTTGAATAGCCCAGTACTCTCTGTCCTCTCTCCTTACTTTCTCTTTTCACCTAGTTTAGATAGAACACTCCAAAATGTGTGGATAGTACTTTTTGAACATCATTAAATTAAAAATAGTTAATTTGAAACATTAGTGGAGGGAGGCCACTACAGATGATACATCTCAACATATACTGCCAGTTTTCTACATCACCTTGTTTTCTCTGTTTCTGTTGAAGCACTTTCAAGATACCTCTGATCTCATTTTCTACATGGGTGCCCTTTAAAACTCAATATTGGGAAAGAAAGGGACCAGAGAGAACTAATCTGCCATCCTAATGTAACAGATGAGCAAAAAAACAGATTTTCTTGGAGAGTCAATGACTTGTCCAAAGTCACACAGCTAGTAAATGTCAAAGTCAAAACTGAAATTAGGTCTCCAGATTTCTAGTTTGACACTTTCCCCCATTATTTCATGCTATTTTAAATCTGTACTACATTTAGGGGCAAAAAAAATCTAGTGAAAATCTTTAAAAAGTTTCTTTCCTTACCAGACATGGTCAGAGAAGAAGAGGAAACAACAACTGTAGATACGAGAGATGAGGATAATACACTAGATAATGTCTCAGTGGCTGAAGCCAAAGAGCAGGTGTGTCCAGGATGAAGATCACTGGACACTGGTCGCTTGAGATGATCCAGGTTTATTTATAAGCAGCTCCATGGAAACCCCAAGATTCCAGCAGGTGTGGTAGGTTGGTGGGAGAATGATGTCAGAATGCAGGCAGTTTGACAGTATGAGGTAGCCAATATTGAGGTCAGATTCCCAACTAGAAGGCAGGATTTGATGGAGGGAGTAGTAGCAGAGCTAAAACAACACCTGAATGGCTGAGTCTGTGAAGGAATCCTACAAGACAGGTGTGAGAGCCTCACTTCCCCCCAGGATCTTATGTTAGAGAAATCATCTCAACATTTCTTATACATGTTCATTACTATAAAAAACTAATTATTTATAATATATTTTATTATATATATGACACATTTTAAATTATATGTACTGTTCATTAATATCCTTAGGAAGGAGCAACATTTAGGTTAAACAGTTACACTTGTTCTGAAATCATATCAGTTGATCTGTTTAATGCACTTGCCCTTTTTTTAGGAGCACAGGAAGGGATTAAGGAGCTCTTTTTGTTACTTGGTTCAAGAATTGTATGTGTTGAGTGCACCTTGTGAGGAAAGATGTGGTTCAAGGATCTTTCCTTTTAGTTTCTTCTCCTTGAATCTGATCTTCCTTGGGCTGTGCTGGGGTAAGCCAAGTTGCACTTGCACCTCTATTCCGCTTTCCTTTTTTTCTTCCTTATAGGCATTGTTTCTGGGACAAGCCTTGATTCAGCAGTCTCACGCTCATGGATGTTACTGTCAGCTTCCAGCAGCAGGGGTGCTGTTTTTAAGTGCCTGATCCTTCCCAAATTGAGCTCTGCTCATTAGATGCAAACACCAGAGAGCTAGAAGACATCACTGATTGCAAACCTTTCCTCTTCCAGCCTTTGGTTACAGTTCTTTTGCCCATAATTTGTTATCTCTGGCTTCTTAGGCTGCACAGGTATCCTGCCATCCCACTCTTCTATACACGAGAGGCATTGCTAATATTTTCCCTTTTCCTTCTCACATAGTGTACCCAGTGTGGCATTTAGAGTAGCCTCCTCCCCCCTTACAAACAGGTAGAGTCTTGGAACCCTAGGATTCTCTGCCTGCCATGCTTAGGCGCAATGCAGACAAGCTGAGGAGGAGAATAGTTAGAGAAAGAGACCATTCCTGGAGAACAGGGAACAGGCAAGGTGAACAGACCCAGAAAGAGAGACTCGTGTGGATTTTTCGGTTTCTGTGAGAATCAAGTTGACACATTTTTAGCCTCATATTAACAGAACAGACAGTTCAAAATATATGTAATATATTTTAGGTAGCTAGATAGTGCAGCAATTGCTATGAATTCTGTACCCTGAAGAGAATAATCGTAAATATATTTTTCCACCTTGTTTGATGTCAGAGTACCTCATTTCCTCACTCACTGGTATGTTTGTACACTATAGATGGTTTCTAAAGAGCTCTGGTTTTGTCTACATGGTTTCTCCTTCTCCTATTTTCAAGGAATCCAACATTGCATGATGTTTTCCTGTTGATGATTGTTTATTTTGAAGCATCATGAGCTATCCTGACTTGATAGATTTAGTGGAGAGATTTTAAAAGGAGTCTGTGAAAAGGTCATTTTGGTGAGTCACACTGTGCATGCAAACATAAGGACAGATGCCTGCCCTCAGTGGCTGGATTGCTTCTGTTTTTGCTCCCTGTTTAGTGGAACTCACTAAGGGCTCTGTAACTGTGATAAAGTGAGTTAGGGCTGAGTACGTAGTGATCTATGTGGTGGAAGCTGGTTTGGTGGAGGAAATCTATGCATCTGTTCCTTGGTGGTACGCCTTTAGAGGTGCCTAGGCTGATCTATCTAGGGACTTTCCCAGTGTGATGAGCAGGAGGTATGTGATATGAGATGCCAAAAACCCACATGAAGATATAGCATAGATGGTTCTTCTTTTTCATTTTTAGGTCACGTATTCATTTGTAGACACATATTTCACTTATTGGCTTACTTTTCCTATTAGGAGATACGAGTCTTTTCAGTGATGGGGGGTGATGCTTATCTGAGAAGAGATTATGAAGGGTATTGAAGTATAGAGAGAGAACTTAAGCTTAGAAATTTTTCCCAAGATTTTCTCCCTAAGCTTCATATCTCTGATAGCCTCCTTCCATGCTATTAGTATGTAATGTGAGGCTAATGACATACGGTGAATACCTGCAAGCCACACCAGTCTCCATTTTCTCCACTTCCATGGGAATCAAGGGCATTGAAAGGTAAGGCAGTTTAGTTTGGTGGTGTAAGATTGGGGTAAGTGTGGTAAGACAATTCTGGTAATAGTACAATGTTTACATATTGAAATATTCAGTTCCAATATTCAATTCTATTTAGGCAAATCCTTAATTAGGCCTTTCCTGGTTCCCAGCCTTTGTAACTATTTTCTTTCTATAGATCCAGCCTTTTGTTGTTAGCTGCAGGCTCAATATGTCTTAAGCTCTATAAGAATCTTAAATGTAGGAGGAAGAACCTATAGAGCTTTGGTCTAACACTCTGGAACTTAGCATTAAGCCCTACCCTGACCTAAAGACTTATTTTTATATTTAGATATTGTCTTGTCCCCAGACCCACCTCCTGTATTTTATACTCTTCAGGATAACTGGGACTGTCTTGGTTTAACATAACAAGTCCATCCACCTCTGAGCAATTCCTTACTCTCTCCATTGTCACTTTTTGATTTGATTAAAGACTGAAATCCCTTAAACCCCCGGGGTTTGGTACCTGAGGGCCCTACCAGATAGCAGTAGATTTTGTTAGTGTCAATTATTTGGTGGTTCAGTGCTCCAAATATCCCTCATTCCTATATTTTCCATTCCACTACATACCTATCAAGGCATTGTTTTACCTCATGTTGAATGCAGTCCCATCCAAAGACCCAATCTTTAAATATGGGATGTGGCAAACAGGCCTTCATGCTTGGCCAGGTGGCTTCAGACGGTATAGATATGCAGATATGCGGACCTTGACAAGGACTTAGACAAGATTGCCACAAAACCTTAGCTTCTTTAGTTAAATAACCAATTACTAACACTGTGTGGCTATCATGGGCCTATAGAGCACAGTGAATCTGTTTCTTTTTGCTTCTCCTCACTATTTGATTATCTGTAATGCTTAATAACTTCATCAAATGAAGGATCTTGCTTTTAATTCTTCATTAAGCAAGGGCATAGATATGTCCTTTTAATATTCTGGCTTCTATACTTATACATGTTACCTTGGAGATGTGACATCAGTACTAAATCCCAGGTGTGGTTTGACCAGTAAAGCTTAGATTCAAACAATAGCATTCCTTGTTTTGGACGTTTTTATGATTTGTTTCTCTTTGGTGGTCCTGTTACATTACTGAGCAATGCTGGTTATCTATCAACCAAAATTCCCAAATTTAATTCAAATGTATTGATTGCTCATAAAATGCAAATTTTACACATTGAGATGCTGTGTTTTCTTCCCTTTCTCAGTGTGATGACGTGGATCATTTTGTAGTGTAGATCTGTCATATCTGCACTCAAGTTGTTGATAAAAATGTGGCATGAAGTGCAATGAAAATTTAACCACAGTTATACTTATACCAATCAAGCTTCTGATTTCAGGTTTCTCCTTACTGCATGGTACAGTAAGTCAAAGCAACCACAGCATCACTACAAGTATTTATAAAAAAAAAAAGTTAATCAGAATGTTTGAATAATCGACTGCTGTAATCTGTATGTGTCACTGTCACAATCCCTCTTCGGCATAGTTTTAATGTCCTTGCTTTATAAATACTCATGATACTTCTCAACATCTCTCAGAGTTCAATACAAATTATAGTATAAAATCTAATGATGAATTAAGATAGTCCTGAAATAAAGCACAAGATTGATAGGGTTCTTTAACATTTCAACCCGAAAAATAAGTAGAGTCAAAATAATTCCTGACTTTTAGAAGACAATGAACAACCTTTATATTAGCTAGCTCCAGAATAACCAAAATTTCAAAATGTCCATGAAGGTGTGATATATTTCTTCCTTGCACACTAGGAGAACACCATGTGTGCTATGTGATTCACTGGATGGCAGCTATTCTCAGGACCACAATTCTAAATTATAACTCTTTTTTTATATTGAGGGAGAAGGGGGACTGTTGGGGAAATCAGTTTGCATTGCAAAGCCCTTGAATGAACCAAAAATGGTGATGAAAGTGACCTGCATAGACAAGTTTGCACCATATGTTTGCAAAGCTCAGACAATAATTTAGCCTGAATGATGACTAACAGAAGTCTTTTGTCCTCCTTAGTTAGACCAGGCTTTCAGCACAGACATGACTGATTTGGGGACTTATAAGATCAATAATTCAATAGTTGGTTCCCAAGTCCTCTGTTGAAATATCGCTGTCTCTTTTTCAAGATGCTGTTTTCTCTGAAAACCTACTTGATTCTTCACACAACATCAAGCCTGAATTTTTCTATAAAAGACTTTTCCAAGCCTCCTCAAACAAACTTGTTTTTGCTTAATAGATTTCCAAAGCTCGGTCTAAACTTCTTCTAACATATGTAATAGTATTTTTAAAAGTTCTTTGAAAGTTTTCATATTCAGAGGGTGTGGCGTTTCTTCAATACTACCCGCTTTGCTAGCAGTTCACTTAACTATTTCATGGTTAGTCTTGAGGCAGTTGGTGGACAAATTTGGCAGTTTTAATATGAAGAACATTATCAATTCAGGGCTCTTTTTTGCTTATAATAAACAGAAATAAACAGAAGCCAGCTGATGCCAACTTTGGTCAAGATTCTTCAGGTACAGCCTCTAGTAAATCATCTTGAGCAGGGTTGGCAAGGTGGATGGTGTATATGGGGGATGTTGGACAGACTGAGGGAATGGGAAGGGTGAACAAAATCCTTATAATTTGGGCACACACTATAAAATGTTCTGCTACAATCTACTGAATAATTCTTAAAAGTCACAATGCCAAGAAATTACCTTTAATTTTTGAACTCTTAGTCAATTCATTACACTTGGTGATGAAACATATCCAGATAAAACATAATCCAGGTTATAAATGTTAACAGGAAAGTTACCTGAATCTGATAGCAATAACCCTGTATTCCATTATGAAAAAAAATTTTCTTTGATTGCATTTTCTTTAATGACATATTTTTATCAATTCAGATAGAATTTAACTTCAAGTATAATTTCAAGTGATAGTAAAACAATGATTTCGAAAAAAAAACAGCTGAGTATTCTATGCTGCTTTACTTTGATGTGAAAGTAGTCATAAGGCTCTTTATTATTGTTTTAGTGAAATTTGTAATTAAATGAATGGCTATCAATTTAGATCTCCAGAAAACCAACTAGTATCAATATATAGTAGCACCTTTCAAAATGGAAAACTTGACCAAGAACCTTTACAACTTTGGAATGTAAAACCTGACTAGTAAAGAATGACATACATTTTTATAATTGCATTTTGCTTTAAAAATTGAACTCGGCAAATAAAATCAGGTAATGGCCATACTGAATCAGAGGATAGATGAGTTACAGCATCACGGCCCTAAGAAAGTCAGTGAGTGGTTGAGCTGATATGTGTATGGTTATCTCCTTTGTTAAAAAAATGGGTGATCATTCTGCTTCCTTCAGGCAGTAATTAATTTCCACATTCTGTCTCTCCTAAAAGACTGTACNAAGTTAGCGCATAAGCCTCATCTCCCAAGTCTTTCATACACCGTGGGTAGGGCCTCCCTACCAGATGGTAGAACACAAAGAAGGCACTTGGTAGATACCTAAGGGTTCTTACTGAATTGCCCTGATCTGTGCTTGGAGGATTTCTAATGTAGAGATAAAGCACTCAACATTATGTGGGCTGTGGTATACCAACCACAAAATAATATATTTATTTTTCCAACATTTTTCTTTTATTGATAAAAACTACACAAAAGTGAATTGATAATTAATTTAAAAGGCAATGTTACACATTATCTTGTGTTTAGAAATTTGTCAGCTTGGCAGTTTCATTCATTGACCACATGGCCATTGTTCTTCATATAAGCCTCGTCCATGTGAAAATATTTCCCCAGGTCTTTCCAATTGGAGGTCTTCACAGGTCTCTTTTCAGACTTCTACACACACAATGAAAACTCAGAGAGGCATGCCAGGGGGAAAACACAACTCCTCACCCTGCATCTTGAAGGATCATCTCCCAGAACCTTAATGGATTTTCATTCCAATAGTTTTCGCAAACTTTGTGGTCAGATGCTGTTTCACTGCGGTCTGTGTTAAAGCACATTTTGTTTTGGTACGACAAGCGCTAATGCCCGTGTTCAGCATTGGAACAGAATCACGTGACCAGGAAAAAATAAAGTAAAACAAAGCAAACAAGAACAAACAGCATTTTAAAAAGGAAAAGTGAAATAAAGCGATTGAAATAAAGTGCCAGAATTCCACACGCCTAACAAGGAAAACTGGATTGTCACCCCGACTTCCCACCCACCCCAGGTTTTTTCCCTGCCCTGTGGTTCTCCAGCCCAGGAACCATGCAGTGTAGAAAAAGTAAATATACAAACAAACCTCTATGTAGCTGGGGTGAAATCTACTTTTATAAGAACTTGACACTTGTACTATTTACATCCAGGAGCATTTTTGGGTATTTTACGGTTGAGAGCAAAGAGAGTCTGTAGTTCTCTCGACTATTGTGCAGGCGGTCTGCTGCCCTCTTGGAAGCAGTTCTGGGTTCCTTTCCTTTAAGTCAGAAGCGTTTACGCAGGAACACGGGCCGGCGTGGATGAAGATGCACCCTGCTTCCAGGGCAGGGTGCTCCAGGCCTGGCTCCCGCGTGTCAGTTTGTGAGTCTCTCCAGATAGATGGCGGGCGCTGCCGACCTGGCGATGGTGGCGATGAAGCTGCGGTCGCGCCCAAGGTCCAGGCCGGGGGCCTCGTCCTGCTCCAGAGACGTGGCCTCGTAGCCCTGGCTGACGCGGAGCGGCCGGTGCGCCTGGCAGTACCCGATCACCGGCTGCTCGTAGCTGTGGTAGGGCAAGGGCTTCACTCGGTGCGGGGGCTGCGCGGGAGAGAGACAGACACGAGTTTAGGTGCTTTGCAAGGATGCGGAGCTCACACTCACGGGGCTGCAGGCTGCGCTCTCAAGCTGCTTTCGGTCATCCACTGCTCATTCAACTCTTAGTACATTTTACAGAAAATTAGCATTGTTAGTATTTAGCTTGCTATTTTGTCCAGATATATAATGTCCTTTTATATGAATTTATATACAAAGTGTGTGTGCATATATATATAAACATATATATTAAGAGATGTGTATATGTACTAGAAATATAGAAATATATGTGTATATATAAAATGCTTTCTGTTAGTATAGTAATATAGTAATATATAATGTATAATACAGTATACATATACTATATTATAACATAGTATAGGACATATGTATTATATTACAAATAATACTTTACATACACACACACACACACACACACTTGGTATATATAAAGATGGTTCCATAGTTGTTCTATTATCCATCCATCCATCTAATCTACTGTCATAACAGGAAGTTAGAGATAACCTAAATTCCCATCAAAAGGGGATTCTAAAATACACTATGTACATTCATATATTTGAATGCAGAATACAAAGGTTGGAGAGTATCAGTCTGTTGTAATATGGCGAGCTATGATATTAAGTGAAAAAAGTTGAAAAGATTGTATAGTATGATCCATTTTGTGTAAATACAGGTGTAAACATACAGAGATTTTTTACTTTTAAATATACACACAATTGAAATCTTTTTTATGGGCCTATATAACTTTTATTTAAAATTTAAAATAATAATCACAATTTCCCATAGATTATTTTTAGCAATTCTATGAATTCTAGACAAAAGAACTCTAGAATCATGAAAGGGATACATCTTTGTATTCATGATGTGTAATGTTATTGACTTCAAACAAACAAGTCAAATATGTATCTAATGTTAATAGACCTGAATAATGGTCTATAAAAATAGCTTTACTAGGAAAAGCTGAAAAATATTAATATTGCGGTAATGTTGATTCTGTGTGGATTTTTATTAAACCAAAAATTTCTGACACAGAAAAATGTGTCTCAGCTTAGTAAAAGGAAATGAAGATTGTTTAATTCTTGATATCATGCTAGCACCATTCTTGTAAGTCCCTAGATCCAACCTGACATTCTTGATTAACAGTCCACAGAACATAAAATTGTGAAAATGCTTCACCATCCTATACGTTTTGAGGTGGTGACAGTCTGAGCTCTTGTCTTTCAGCTCCTACCCCACTTCTGTAGTGGGCTTTCTGATGCGGAGCTGGGGCTTTCAAACCCTGCGTCTCTTGGACCTGCTACTCCCTGTTAGGTTGGGAACTGCTAGAGGGAGAGGGCAAGGCTCGAGGAGACAGAGGGAACTGCTGCCCTGGTGAGTTTCCCCTCTGCTTCTTCCTGCTGCAGGGAGTTACCCCAACACTTCTTCATCTGGCTGTGGCAGTACCTTCTGGCAACAGCAGGCCATTCCAGTTTTCGTCTTTCTGACAGTTGAGTCAGTGTGTTCTGTAGCACCAGGGAAGTTTGAAGTTCACCTGCACAAAGCTTTTCCTCCACGCTTTTCATTTTAGTGATGCCAACATCTTCCCTCAGTCCCTTAGCTCTGCAGGTGACAGGGGTGAGGTTGATTTCCTGAAGTGACTGTCTCTGTTATACTTTGGCACTATTTTTTTAGCCTTTGCAGGAACTTAGCTAATAACTCTATGTTTAGTTAGCACTTCTTCATAAAAATGCTTTGTTAAAAGAAAGGACAGATTGTCCATCTTCTGACTTTTCCTGAAGGTTAAACTGCCAAAATTGGTAAATTGTTATAATTATAAAATTTGGCTCACCCCCCCAAAGGTCTTATGGCTCAATTTTTCTGTAGGAAGTTAACAGGTTTGATATTTAATTTAGCAACCTTATTTTCAGAATGCATTGCTCCTATTTCTATATAAATCCTTCAAATGCTCTTCAAACTAGGTCTTCCTTGTATCCTCATTAATGTGTTTAATAAAATGTTGACACAAATTCACTATCTGTATGAGAATCATGTTTCTAACACCTCTATGATTATTAAAAGTCTCTCCCTCACATTCTTAAAGATATAGATTGTTTTCTATGGCACATCACAACACATTAGTAGGTTATAAAATCAATTTAGTGAATCCAGATAAACATTTTAAAAATTGAGTTAGAGGAGAAAGTATCAGAGTGAATTATATGAATAGGGTGTTTTAATAAAAATTTTGTTTCAAATGTGTGTGTGAGTGTCTACTGAGACTCATTGTGTGGGTTTTTTACTGAAATTGGGAATCACAGTAAAAGATGCTTTTAAAAAATACTCAAAGCACATAGATTACAGTTTAATGTGATCAGCAGTAGGCTAGATAAAATCCGATTTTGCTTTCACTCTTCTCTTTTGTCTTAACTCATACAATTCACTATTTTTCTCAGTGAGATGAGACACTTAAACCAATATATGTATCAGTTTGTGTTTTAGATGAGGCACATTAACTTCTAATGGAAACAAACACTATTTTCAGCAAATCTTTTAAGAAACATTAAAGAAGGGATAATTTCTCATCAAACAAATGTTGATACAGTCTTAAATATACAATTCTTCTCTCAAAAAATATCTGGAAAAAATACATACTAGGTCAAAGTTGTGATTGTTCCAGAGATGTTTTACACAGTAGACATTAATTTCTATATTGAAGAACAAGGAACAAATTATAAGACAAAATGGCTTATATCTAGAATTATTAGATACTGAATATAAAATGAGGTCTGCCCCAAATCTATAGTGTTTTTGTGTTTTCTTACTCATATGGACCTTTCCCTGTAAACCATTACAGGTTCAAATGTGAAATGTTTGTCAGCAAGTTCTATTATAGGGAATCTCATAGGGTTTTGAAGTGTATTGGGTAGGCAGAGATATCTATGATTAGTGTCATGGGTCACCAAAACTCTGATAAAGCATAGAAATGAAACGACATTTCTGACATTTCAGCAGAATTTTATGAAGAAGACCTTCTTAAGAGATACATAGTCCACTCACTTTTTTGTTGTTGATAGGTTGAATAGCATAACTCAGAAACATAAAAAATTGACCAAATTATTTCCAATAACAGCGATGATCACCGGGTATAGAATATCTGTTACACACTTGCATTAAAAAGAATGATGCATTGTCTCCAACTTAGCCAACTTACTAAAGGACACAGAAATAAACATGGGTTATGGTTTTGTCTGTTGTTTTGCAACACTATGGATAGTCTTTTTCTGGTCATTGGAATAAGAAGATGCTTGACTCTACAAACATGTATGAGCAAGATGGAAATCATTAGCTCATTTGTGAACATTGTTGAAAATTCAATATAAAGTTCCTGCAGTTGAACCATAATCAGAAAGAATAATTTCATATCCAAACAACCATGGTATTTGTCTCCAAGTTAGGGTGATTCAATTATCAAGGGACCTGCATGAACTACAGAGCTTTAGATCATCTCTGAAGTCAGAAAATTTGTTTCAATGTTGCAGTTGGATCAGCTTATTTTTTACTTTGATCAACAAGGGCTCCTGCCATTTTCTCTACTGTAGCTGAGACAGACTTAGAACCTCTGGCAAGATAAAAAGCATTGTAAAGTTTCCCTCTTGCACAACAGCCCAAGAGCAAGTATTCAAAAGCCATGTGAACTGGCAAGCTCTGAAAGGATTGCTGAGATGTCTGCTCATTTACTCCTGAAGTCTATTCTGTAGGGCACTATGTAATCAACTGACTTTGGGGTTTCTGAAGAGTTAAGAGGCTGAGATCTTGTACTTTATAGTAATAATGTACAGTACATTAACTACCTGGGTCCCAGTGTGTATCATTGTTTCCTTTCCAGCAGTCAAAACAAAGTATCCTTAAGTTCCCCTTTATGTGTATTTGGCATTTTTGTAAATGTGTTCTTAGAGCTTTTCCAAATGGCCCCAGTGTTTCATCAGTTCTCTGATGGACTTTTCTGTAGCACAGCACAAAACCACCACTTTAAGATGGCCTCATTCAAATGCTTGACTGCTCATTGACTGCATGGGAAGCTGCACTTGACTTACAGATAATAGGTATGGTACATGGAGTGAAGGAATCTCACTGGGGGAATATATTATACTATACTGAAATTCTGTCCTTTGCTTCTCTCAAGAATATGAACACTTTATCTCAAATTGAATTTAAACTTTTATAGAGGCATATAAACTTCTATATAGGCATATTTCATAACTAAATTTGAGGTAGGTTACAAAGGGGAGAAACCATTATTATCACTAATTATAAATCACTTTAATCCTCCAGAGTTTCCTATGAGTCCTCTGAACATGCGGATAATAATGGCCTACCATTTACCTCTATAAATTTTCAGGTAACTCTAAAAGTACACCCTGATTCTCAAGAAAGAAAGTATGTACCAAAAAGACATATTTCTACTCTAGTTTTACTCAATACTGACAGTGTCTTTCCTGGAAACGTGCCCTGTCTTTTGTCTTACAGTTTCCATTTCAGAGAGATGCAAGGACATGAGGGGTCACAGGGCAGCTCATGAGTCCCAGCTTTCAGTCCTACTTTGTGTACTCAGAACCTTAGAAACATTAGTGGGTGTCTGGCTTTCTAAAAACATCATTTACCCTTTGCCTAGAATGTGTTTTTCTTCTAATATGCTTCAGGGAGTATAAAAGAACATAGTCCTCTCAATTATAGTGGCTCATAGTGTAAGTGATTCAAAAGGGAAGTCAGGGAAAGGGAATATTTTTAAATCTTGGAAGGAGGACAAGTTTATAGGAGGATATATGGAGTTTCAAAAGTCTGCAGATTGATTCAGATCCCATAATTTCACATCCATAATAATTAGGCTTCAAATGAGAAATGAATGTGTCTGTATGGCAAATGTGAGAGTAATGTGACATGGTCTCTTGATATAGATGATCACAACAGGCTTTTGAAGTTCAGTTTTCTTATGAGCATGAAATTCC